AACGTCTACTGTATTTTTTGTAAAAGTACATGATTTTATCTAGACCATGGTTTACATGCAAATGCATCAAATTTTCAACAAAATCCACATATATCAAGTTATAATCAATTTGTAGGCACGTCAAGTTCGGTTCATTTGAGTGCACAACCTTTCAAAAAGTTTGTTTATATGTATGATTGCATACAAATTGTCATAAGTTCCTGATAATGCTCTTCAGAGAAAATAGCCTTGAAAAATATTGGGCTTTTGAGATTACTTTACCGTAATGGTTTAACAGCGCTGCAATCTGCACGTCAATAATATTGCTGTCGTTAAATATTCAAGTAATTTCCGAGTTTATCTCAAAAATATCAGTTACATAATTTACCATAATGAACTTAACCGTCTTACAGGTAACGTTTCTTATTGAAAACCTATTCCAAGATTCTAACGGCCTTAAACCGAAGGCTAGCGATTCCATGAAAATTTTCTCCTTTTTTAGAGGACATGCGATGTGCCTTTGTATATTTCACTCTATCTCGCTGGATGTTATGTACATGCACAAAAAGAATAAACAATGGAGCTGTTTTTCTTCCAAACATTCAGCTTACTCTCAATGTTAAACCTGCAACTGCAATTTCTCTTCCATTTGATGGAAGCGTAATGGCTTTCGAGAAAGGTGCACATGGAAAACTTCTTCTGAAATATGTACTTAAATTACATTTTGATTTTTGTATTCCCTATTTTGCAGGATGCTTGGTTAGTTATACACGTATTTCCTAAAAAGCGAATTGAAAAAGTACTTTAGCGAAAGTTGAAGCGAACTCTTCTCAGAAATGGTTGCAATATTTTTGATTCAAATTTCACATTTCGATCCTTAGTTCCCACTGTTTACAATATTCCTTATTTTAGTTCATTTTCGAAATTTTTGAGTAGACGCAGTCTTTTTCCGAAAATTCTGTAAAAGGAGCTTGTTTCCATTTGACATCTGACAATGAAATATAACTTGTAAATCGGTAAGCTTTTGCTGGGAGAGCACATTGCGCCAGCGATTCAGGTTTAGAAATCCCAAATGGTTTTTGGGTGACACTACCAAACTTTGTATGGGTGACATCCTGTTCACAGTATCATGATCCTACTTTTTG